ACAGGTGCGCTCTACGCACACCTCCACAGGGACGTCCACCATCACCGGGGGCCAGGGGGTAAAGCAGCCGACGAGAGCTGCTCACCACTGCAGCTCATCCCACAGCCCTGCTTTCTTCCTGCCACACAGGTTTTCCAGAGAAAGCTGGGGGAGGGGGCTCGGCTTTATCCGTCACTCTGTCCTGGCCTACAGGAAGGGCCCTCCACACACTGCTCCTCTTCCAGCCAGGGTGACCACACAAGACCCCGGGACGACCTGTGCCCTTGAGATGCTCGGCCACAGTCCAACCCTTGCTTCCCTTCCCAGCTCCATGGGGAAGGTTCTGGGCTGGCAAACACTGTGTGTGTCTGTGAGTGTGTCATCTGTGTGCATGTCATCTGGGTGTGTGTTGTGTTTGCATGTTGTGTGTACATGTGTCATGTGCATGTTTCGTGTGTGCATGTGTGTCATGTGTTGCATTGTTGTGTGTGCATGTGCCTTGTGTGTGTGTGTGTGTGTGTGGGCTGGCAGACTTTTTAAACCCATTTCCCAGCAGAGTTACAAGGGGAGGGGGGAGGGCCCACAGCCAGGCTCCTCCAGATGCCCAGCACAATCTTGCCACAGGCAGGTCAGTGGCTGGGACACAGGTCAGCGTCAGAGGATTCTCACCAAACCAACTCAGCAGGATTTCTGGGAAGACTGGGCTAGGCAGGCAAAGGCGCCGACCCACCCATCACCTCGAGGCCTTACCCGGCTGCCCTCCTGCCTCATGACTCGTCCCCTCCCGCGGCAAGCAGTGGCGCTGACCAGAGTCAGGGCTGCAGCAGCACCGGGGGCACCAGGCTGCTCTCCCCTCCCAAAGCCTGGCTGGGCCAGCTGTGCCGGGCAAGGCCAGCAGAAACCAAGGCCCAGGCACTTCCATGGAAGCACAGCGATGCCAGAACATGGCTGTATCCTACAGTCAATAACATGACACACATCTGAGCCACACACTAAGGCACCACCTTCCCCATCGGGGGTAGCCTTCCTCAAGAACCGCACGAGACACCGCAGGAAAGACGGCTCCCACCTGCTGCTGCTCCTCTACCTGCAGGCGGCCCCCTGACGCCACAGCCGTGGTCTGGAATGGAACCAGAGATGTGAGCCCCCAAAGGTCACCCCAGGAGACCAGCCTTGTAAACAGAATGCACCCCTGCTCCTGCCACAAGGGGATGGCGCATGAGGTGGTGGGGGCTGCAGGGGCATGGGGAGGCCCGGGCGGAGGTCCCTAAGCATGAGGAAGAGCCAGAGGTCTCTCTCCTCCACAAGGCTGGCTGCAGGAACCGAGTCCAACCGTCACTTTCTGCATCAGCGTGTACCCTGGCTTCTATTTTTGAGGGAAGTAATGAGAGCAGTAGCGGAATGTCCGCTCTGGAGGCAGGGTGGGGGGGACAGGATGGAGGCACAAAGGCCTCGCTCTGTCTGGAGGCCCAGCTCTTCCTGTGCACCATCCATCACGCAGGCCAGGACGTGGCACGCTGGTTTTCTGCACTCGGGAGCACAGAGCAGGGGCCAGCGTGGACGGTCACACCCTGGACCCTGCCCTGCACCAAGTCTGACTGAAACAGTCCTTGAGTTCCTTCCTTCCTTCCTTGTTTCCACAAGCCCCGAGAACACGTCCCAGCCTCTCAGCAGGAACACAGGCCAGCAGCTCAAGGCCATACTCTGAGGCTGGTGCCTGGCTGACGACCCGACCACACGGTCAGTGCGCCGCCCCTCCCGCTGTCTGCACAGAACACGGGGGCAGAGGAAAGGGCTGGGCAATCCCAGGGCCCGTGGGGAGAGGCCCAGCTCCACAGCCTTTGGTGCATCCACGAAACTGCACGGACGCCACACGGTCTCAAAGCCCATCTTTTCTCCTCAGCTGGCCAAGCTCAGACAGGAAGCACCTCACGGAGGAACAATTCCAGGCCCCACGTGGGGGATGTGAAAGCAGAAGCCAGTGTACAAACACAGGAGAGGCACACACAAGACACACACACAACACAGACACGCACATACGATGCATACATGCACACATGACATGCAGAAGCACACACAACACATGCTTGCACACATGTGACACACTTGTGTGACACACATGACACATGCATGCGACATGTACACGGCACAATGACACACGACTTGCGCACACAACAGATGTACACACATGACATTCAACACATGCACACATGACACATACACATGGCACATGCACACACACGACACTCAGCATCCCCAACGGCAAGGGGACAGGCGAGAGTCTAACACGTGAGCAGCAGTGAGCAACACTTCGCTGTCGGCACTGGGGTTTTGCTTTCAGCAGCCATCAGACTCATGAGAGCTTCTCTCTGCTCTAGCGCTGTGCCTTCACGCCAGATGGGTGTGAGCGCACAATCCCACTCCACAGCCTTACCCCTTGTCTCCCGAGGGCGGCCCTGAACCCCAAGGAGCCAGTTCCTCCTTAGAAGGCAGCAAGATGTGACACGGTGGGCTGCTTTCTCCGTCACTGCTGGGACAGCCACCTTCTGTGTCAGTGTGCCTGGGACGCAGTCCTGCCAACACCCTCAGGTCCAGCTCCCTGCTAACACCTAGGAGGCAGCAGGTGATGGCTGCTGCAGGCACTGAGGGAGTGAATCAGCAGACGGACGGACGCACTGGCCCTGGCACTGGCACACACTCTCTTTTTCTCCCTCTCCGTCTCCCCTCTTCCCCTTTCATGGTAGACTTGTTCTGAATGTTAAAATCTAATTCCAGAAGTTAGCTCTGAGAAACAAATCAACTCTCATGAAGAAACTGAGAGCATGACTAAGTGTCACAGGGTCTTTCAACACGTCAGGCACCGCTCAGACGCAGGCCACCCGAGCGGGAGACTCTGCCAGGAGAAGCTGGCCAGGCGCCTGTGACAGAGGTTGTTACAGAGAGCCGCTACAAGCACAGGAAAACAAACCTGACAGTGGGGCAGGAGAGGGACGGGGACAGAGATGGCCAGCAAACCCAGCCGCACCCTCGGGGACATAAAGCACCCCGCAGGCGCCTGCACTCAAAGGAAGCGTTACAGAGAGGGAGAGACAGAGCTCTTCCACCTGCTGGTTCTCTCCCCAGATGGCTGTGATGGCCAGTGCTGGGCCAGGCCGCAGCCAGGAGCTTCATCGGGGTCTCCTGTGTGGGTGCAGGGGCCCAAGCTCTTGGGCCATCTTCCATTGCTTTCCCAGGCCATTAGCAGGGAGCTGGATCAGAAGTGCAGCAGGGGCCGGCACTGTGGTGTAGTGGGCTAAGCCTCTGCCTGCAGTGCCCACATCCCATACAGGCGCCGCTTCAAGTCCTGGCTGCTCCTCTTCCAATCCAGCTCTCTGCTATGGCCTGGGAAGGCAGAAGAAGATGGCCCAAGGGCGTGGGCCCCTGCACCCACATGAAGACTCATGGGAGTTCCAGGCTCCACCACTGCAGCCATCTGGGGAGCGAACCAGTGGACAGAAGATTTCTCTCTTTCCTTTTGCCTTTCAAATAAATAAAATGAATCTTCAAAAAATAGCTGACAGTTGTGTCAACAGAGACTAAGGGATGCCACTTACATAGGCGCTAGGGGAGGGGCACGGGTCTCCCACTCCCTCGTGCTAGAAATACTTTACAATAACAGCTTAGGGCCCGTGGCTCTGATGGAGGCCTCTGCGGGCAACTTCCCTGGGCCGGGCCTGCAGGGCGCCACAGGGTGTTGCAGGCTCCTCCAGCAGCCGCAGCTGGGGTGCAGCCTCGGCCTGACCCTAAACCTGAGACTGAAGAACGCGAGGGACGCTGCACACAGGACCCAGGGTGGCAGGTTCAGGTGGTGACCGTGCCCCGCGCGAGCTGGCAGCACCTGGAACACCCGCTCCGCACGAGGGGCTGCAACCAGGGGGCCCCGCCTGGGACGCCACAGACGCCACAGTGCTGGGGGCAGGGGGCGGCCGGGCGCTGACGTCAGCACCCGCAAACCTCAGGCCCCTCGCGCGGCTCTGTGGCCTCCGTTTCAGCGCAGGTGAAAGGGGGCAGCCCGGGAAAGAGGCGGCACGCACGGGCCCACTTGGGCCCCCGGGGTAGAAGCTGTGGACATGCCACGCACGGCCACACCTGGCCAGCGCTCAGCTCTCCGCAGAGGGCCCGGGCTTCTCCCCGGAAAGCCGAGGCTCAGGAGGAAACGCTGGGACCGCGGACGAGGGCTTCGCCGCTCCACGTCTCACCGCGCCGTCCCGGACTCCCCTGCGGGGGTCGGGGTGCGCGCAGCCAGGGCCCGCACCCCCGAGAGCACAGACCCGCGGGGAGCCCGCCGCTGCCAGGGGTCAAGGACTCAGCCTGCGCTCGGGAGCCTGGCCTCACCTGGCGCCCTCGCCCGCCTTGCCCTCCTGCCCAAGTGGCCTCACCTGCGCTCTGCCGGCCGCCCCAACAACCTGCCTGCGCGCCCCCCTCACCCGTCCGGCCCCCTCTCGAGCACCCCTCACCTGTCCGGACCCCCCCAGCGCGCCCCTCACCTACTCGCCCCCCCAGCGCGCCCCTCACCTGACCGGACCCCCCAGAACGCCCCTCACCTGATTGGACCCCCCAGAGAGCCCCTCACCCGACCGGACCCCCCCACCCCCTCACCTGACCGGACCCCCACCCCAGCGCGCTCCCCACCTGCCCGGCCCCTCCCCCCCAGCGCCCCCTCACCTGCCCGGCCCCGCACTGCATGCCCCTCACCCGACCGGACCCCCCCCACCCCCTCACCTGACCGGACCCCCACCCCAGCGCGCTCCCCACCTGCCCGGCCCCTCCCCCCCAGCGCCCCCTCACCTGCCCGGACTCCACCCGCGCGCGCCCCTCACCTGACCCCTGACCGGAACCCGCAGCGCCCCCTCACCTGCCCGGCCCCTCCCCCCCCAGCGCTCCCTCACCTGTCCGGAACCCCTCCCGCGCGCTCCCCTCACCTGCCCGGCCCCGCACTGCGTGCCCCTCACTTGACCGGACCCCCCGCGCGCGCCCCTCACCTGCGCGGGGGCGGCGGCCAGTGCGGGCGGCGGCAGCTCGGGCAGGCCGTCCTCCTCCTCCGGGGGCTCGTCCAGCAGCACCCGACCCCGGCTCAGCTTCCACATGCTCGGGCAGTGCCGGCGTCCGCGCGTCCCCGCGTCCGCGCTCCTCCTGCGCTGCGGCTCCTGCGGGATGCGGGCCCAGTCGGCCGGGCGGGGCCGCCTCTCCCCGGCCGGCCCCGCCCACCTGACCCCTCACCAGGCCCAGCCCCCCAGCCGGCCCCTCACCCGGACCAGGCCCGACCCCCAACCAGGCTCAGCCCCACCCCCGGACAGGCCCAGCCCCTCACCCGGACCAAGCCCGACCCCCAACCAGGCTCAGCCCCTCACCCGGACCAAGCCCGACCCCCAACCAGGCTCAGCCCCACCCCCGGCCAGGCCCAGCCCCTCACCTGGACCAGACCCCCTCCCTCCAGCCCCCCGCGCGGCCCGCCCCCTCTCCAGGACCAGGTCCGGCCCGCCACGCCCCGCCTGCGGTGACCCAGGGAGTACCCGCCCCCTTTCCGGAGCGACCCCCCGCCCCTCGCAGCCCTCAGGGGCGGAGGCCTCACTGTAGCCTCTCCCCAGGACCCCCTCACCCCCACCTCGCCCCGCCTGGTGGGCGTGGCCACGGGCGCCTGGCTACCATGGCAAAGCCTCAGGTCACGGAGCCGCTCAGTGCGCATGCCCGGCCCTGCAGCGGCCCCTGGGGCGCGGGGGCGGCCCCGGGCGTGGGGGTGTGGCCGGAGCGGCCCCGCGAGGCGTGGCCAGAAGGCCGAGCTCCCACCCCGCGGCCTGTGTAGGGCCTGGGCATGTGGGGCAGCAGGCGAGGGGTCCGGGCCTGCGGTTCCAAGGCCTGGACTCAGCCGCGGTGGGTGGGAGGGTGTTTGGGTGGATGGGGATGGGTGGACAGACAGGGGGAAAGATGGACAGACACGTAGCAGGTGGGCAGAGATAGGCAGACGGATGGATGGACAGAAAGATGGAAGGGTGTAAAGAGGAATGGATACATAGACAGATGGTCGGATAGATGGATAGAAAGATGGACGAACGGGTGGATAGAGCTGGATGGATGGGTAGATGGATGATGGGTGGATGGACAGATGGATGGACGGGTGGGCAGAGGAATGGATGGATGGACTCACAAATAGATGGACAAATGGGTGGACAGAGATGGAAGATGGATAGATAGACGGAGAGGTGGATGGACGTGTCGATGGACAGATGGATATGCAGATGTACACATGGATAGATGGATGGATGATGGACAGATGGACAGTGGGTGTCCAAACAAACCAGAGGCAGGGAAAGGGGGGGCTGTGCGTGTGCAGGAAGTTCCTAGGGTGGCAGAGGACAGGAGGCAGGGTCCCAGACTGGGTGGGGGCAGGTCCTGTGTTCAGATGCAGGCAGAGTAGCCACAAGTAAGAGGTGTGGCTGGTGGGCAGTGTGCAGTGCACAGGCGCTGGACGCGTCTGCCCTGGCAAAGGCAGGTCCCCATCTCACTTGCAGGGAGCGAGGTGGCCCCAGCCCACCCCAGCTGCCCAGAGAGTATTTTCCAGAATGGAAATGAGTGTGTGAGCACCAGGCACCCGTCCTGACTCTCACCCAGCAGCCAGAGCGCAGGGGACTCCTGCCTCCCAGCACAGTCAGGAACGAGCAGTAAGATGCAGAGACTGCCCCGCTGCCGTCTGGCAGGAGGGCCTGGACGGGGGGTGGAGGGGGGACCCTCGAAGGCTGCCTGGAGCTGGTGGCCTCGAGGGCTGCTGTGCATCTTCCCAGCTGGCACGTGGCTGCATCACCAAATCTAGATCCACATGCATCTAGAAATCCAGAACACTGGGCTCTGTGAAAACTCCCCAAGCCCTTCTGGGCTTTGCAGAGTGAACAGCAGTGATACTCCCCCAGGGAAAGGGGGCTCTGCGGTGTCTCTGAGAGGAGGCAGCGGGGATCCCAAGGGCACCTGAGGCATGGGAAGGCACGGTGGGCTCAGGCGTGCACAGCAGGCTACGGTGAGGGTCCAGGAACAGCCCGAGAACCAAGCGGCAGGAGCCACAGATTAATCATCAACCAGCCATCTGGAAACCAAGGCAGTGTGGCAGCCATCACGCCAACCCCCCTTCAGGTTCCCGGACGGAAGCAGGAATCAGGAGGCAAAAGGTTCAGACATGCCCGTGCCCTCCCCCAGTGACTGCTGCACCCAACAGGCATGAACCTTGAACATCTAGGAAACCCGAAGGGGGCCTGCCAGAGACGACTCCACCGACCAAATGGAGAGCATATGCACGCCGATGGACAGTGTGTGTTTCATCATTATTTCATTTGTTTGAAAGGCAGAATTACAGAGATGGAGAGTCAGAGATGGAGATCTTCCATCCACTGATTCACTCCCCAGATGGAGCAGCCATGTCCCAAAGAGGCAAGCATTAGCTGCATCCATGGCACCATGGTGCCAGCCCCTTGTGTACCATTTCCAGGCCAGGAAAACTCCAGGGACTGGAGGGCAAGGGCCTGGTGATTATGGGATGCAAAGAGACATGCTATAAGCAGCAACCTGCAGAAAAGTCAAATCCATAGGCAGGGGTCAAATAACAAAGCCAGAAACCAGATGCCCCTCCCAAGACACCGCAGAGGAAAAGAGGGGTAGCGGGGGCTCCCTCACAGTCCCTCTGCCCTCTTCCCCCCAACCCCACCAAGATCTCCACTGTGGCTGGAATGCAAGCTGCCGCAGGGCCATCAGGAGGACAAGGCTCGCCAGGCCTGAACACCCCGGGGGGAGAGAGGGCCGGGGAGAGAGGAGCCGCTGACCTGGGCCACCTGCAGGCTTTCCTGGAATTCTTCCACAGCTAAGTTCCTAAGGGCATTTTGCACAATCCAGAGTTACAAAAGTACAGCTCTGTCAGTATGAATCTACTGCATCTAGAAAGTCGTGGTTAGAGACCCAGCTGGGGGCCGGTGCTGTGGCATAGTGGGTAAAGCCTGTGACACCAGCATCCCGTATGGGCGCCGATTCGTGTCCTGGTCGCTCCAATTCTGATAAAGCTCTCTGCTATGGCCTGGAAAAGACAAGTGAAGATGGCCCAAGTCCTTAGGCCCCTGCACCCACACAAGAGGCTCGGATGAAACTCCTGGCTGTTGGATGAGGCCTGACCCAGCCCTGGCCATTGAAGCCACAGCAGATGAAAGATCTCCCCCCACCCACCTTCTCTCTCCCTGTAATCCTTTCACATAAATAAATAAGTCTTAAAAAAAAAAAAAAAAAAGATCCAGCCCAGGAATCTAATTACAGCGTGGACTGTCTTCCTGGCTGAGGGGACACAGGAACACCTCCACGCCCAACAGAGCCTGCCTCTGCCCGGTGGCAAGTGCCAGCACCAGCACAAGGCTCAGCTCTGTGAGTTTACTCTGGCAGTTAGAGTTGGAGGACAGGAGGGTTTGGGTTCCACGAGGAACTTTCTAGCGGCCTCGGGACACAGTGAAGCCAGTGAGTAGAGGCTGCCTGTGAAGGGGGCAGAGGGTTCTGCCAGGCCTCCCCGACTCTGCAGCCCGAGTCCATGAGCGGCCCTTCCCTGGGGCGCCCTCCAGAACTGCACCTGCCCTGGTCCCCAGAGGGTTCTCGTCATTGTCCAGGGAGTGATCACATATCGGAGAGTTGAGGTAATCCTAAACTTTAAGAGCAACACGACCAGGACAGGTTAAAAGCCAAGACAGCTTTATTCAGGTGCAGATTTGGAAGTTAGGACCAGGCGGGCCCCCCACCTGCAGGCCTGGTCCAATCGGGGGTTGAAACCCCTGTGGGGCCCTGGGACGCCCCACCCAGTCAGGAGCAGACAGGTCTCTGTGCTATTTCTTCTTCCTCTGGCAGCCACAGTGCCCGCCTGAGGCCTGGAATTCACCCTATCTGAAAAAGCTCCCTCTTGGACCATTCTGCACCCACTCTGGCCTGAACGTCCCTCAGCACTGAGGGCAAGAACACCCTGGACAGCCGCCCTCTCCGCACCTGGCCATACAGGTTCTGCCGCTCAGCCGGTCACTGATGGTCAGTAGATTCTCTCCACTGAGCCGTGATATGGAAGTGAGGACAGAAGCCACAGCCAGTGTTGACTGAGGGTCACCATGGACTCCCTGGTATTTGGTGAATCTGTGTGTTATCTCACTTACTGGAAAGAACACAGAATTTTGTGCGCATTGACCTAGATTGCAGTCCTAGCTCTACTTAGAGAAAAATGCAACCTGCAATTGATGGAAGAACGGAACATGGTTTGACCCACTGTAATGTTGGTTCCCTGTGGAGAGTAGGCTTGGGGAGACTTGCAAAAGAACACTCTGTATTGCACAGCTGTGTGTGTGTGTGTGTGTGAGAGAGAGATAGTGTATATATAAACATTGTGTATACAGAGCTGTGTGTGTGATATAAACACTGTGTATTACAGAGCTGTGTGTGTGATAGTGTATATATAAACACTGTGTATTACAGAGCTGTGTGTGACATAGTGTATATATAAACACTGTGTATTACAGAGCTGTGTGTGACATAGTGTATATATAAACACTGTATTACAGAGCTGTGTGTGTGATAGTGTGTATAAAAACACTGTGTATTACAGAGCTGTGTGTGTGATAGTGTGTATAAAAACACTGTGTATACAGAGCTGTGTGTGTGATAGTGTATATATAAACACTGTGTATACAGAGCTGTGTGTGTGTGTGACATAGTGTGTATGTGTATACAGAGCAGTGTGTGTGTATGTGATAGTGTATATATAAACACTGTGTATACAGAGCTGTGTGTGATAGTGTATATATAAACACTGTATTACAGAGCTGTGTGTGATAGTGTATATATAAACACTGTATTACAGAGCTGTGTGTGTGTGTGACATAGTGTGTATATAAACACTGTGTATACAGAGCTGTGTGTGTGATAGTGTATATATAAACATTCTATATACAGCTCTGTATACTGTGTGTGTGATAGTGTAAATAAACACTGTGTATTACAGAGCTCTGTGTGTGTGATAGTGTATGTAAAAACTTTGTATTATATAGCTGTGTGTGAGTGATAGTATATATATGCACACTGTAATACAGAGCTCTGTGTGTGTGATAATATACGTGAACACACTGTGTATTATACAGCTGTGTGTGTGATAGTGTATATATACACACTATTAGAGTTATGTGTGAATAATATATATAAACAAACTGTATATTTTTATAGAACTGTGTGCATACATGTGAATGATTTTTTTAAGATTTATTTATTTATTTGAAAGGCAAAGTTAGAAAGGCAGAGGCAGACAGAGACAGTTCTTCCATCTGCTGGTTCACTCCCCAATTGGCAGCAATGGCCAGAGCTGCACCTGTCCAAAGCCAGGAGCCAGGAGCTTCTTTCTGGTTCTCCCCAACTGGAGCAGGGGCCCAAGGACTCCTACTACTTTCCCAGGCCATAGCAGAGAGCGGGATCAGAAGTGGAGCAGCTGGGACATGAACCAGCACCCATATGGGAGGCCAGCACTGCAGGTGGTAGCTTTACCTGCCACAGCACAGTGCCGGTCCCTGATTTTATATATATAAACACCCCAATGGACGGTATGGGGGGGAAGCCATTGTAATCCATAAGCCGTACTCTGGAAATTTATATTCATTAAATAAAAGTTAAAAAAAATTAACATTAAAAAAAACCATTGTAAACAAGCCTCATAATTATATATAATTCGTATAAGTTTAA